ACCGAATATCGGGAGGACCGCTATATGGGAGCTATACGGAAACCTAGACCTATGCATATAATGTTTCCCCATCGGAGCTAGGACCCATTATAACCAACAAAAACTAATGTTTAGACAAAACCGTGGAAAAAATAATCAAAGTACTGAATATCGGGAGGTACCTTTATATGGGGGCTATACCAAAGCGTGGACCTATACATGCAATGTCTCGCCACACGAACTGGGATCCGTTATGACCCACAAATACCAATTTTCAGACAAATCCGTGAAAAAATGTGGCATAAATCATCAAAATACCGAATATCGGGAGGTACCGTTATATGGGGACTATACCAAAACGTGGACCGATATATCTCATTTTCAATACCAACCATCCTAAACACAATACAAATTGTTCTGCCAAATTTTGACGCTCTACGTCAAATAATGTGAGCGGTATCGTGATTTCAACAGACAGACAGACAGACGGACATGGTTAAATCGACTTAGAATTTTATGCTGATTATGAATATATACACTTTTTGGGGTCTTCGACGAATATTTAGGGATTTTACAAAGGGAATGACAAAGTTAATATACCCTCCTTCCAAGGTGGAGGGTATAAAAACGGGTTTACGCAAGAGACGAGTTTGTAACTCTAATCCGACTAAAATTTTAGTTAATACGTTCAAATTTTATATATTTTAAATAGTTGGAATGTATAAAGCACACATTGTGTATAAAACTAGAGCTCATGTGGGAACTGTTACAAACTTTTGGCTCAATACAAAGTTAATAGGTGGATTATTGGAAAAGCACAAAAAGGGAGACAAATTACACTACATCGAGGGAAGAGATATCAATATATTGTTGGAAGGTGGGATAGGCCCGAATATTTGTATAGTGAAAGAATATCAGGAAAACTAGACTAAATAAAACTGACAGATACATAGTTGAAAATGCAAATTCAAGGAATGCCGCACCAGCACAAATTTATAGATGGAATTGAAACTTACGAAACCTCCTGAAAATAAAGATCACACAACAAACCTTGAAATATTTAGAATTTTGACTCATGAGGTTAATTGCGAAACAGGATATTGTTAAAGCCCTCAACTACTATCCACCTCGTCATGCAGTTACAAAGCAAGAGAAATTGCTATCCTTGTTTGAAGTGAGACTTTATACGTTGAAGAAGCATAAAGTCTCACTTCAATCAAGGAAAACATAAATTATAATTGATTTCTAAAAATGAGAAGCCCAAAAAGAAAACTTGGGAGAAAAGAACGAGTTTTAATCAGGTACGCAGTACATTGATAAAATATCTGCAGCATAACATAAAACTTTCAACATAACATAAAAATACAAACAAATGCCTAATTTAACATTAACGGCAACAGCCGCTTTAAACTATTGTAAATAAATAAGCCACATTGCTCGTGGATTCACATTCGAAAAAAAGCTGTAGTTATGTAATTAACCACAGTATTGCGGAATGTGCTTTATATATGGATACAAAATTAAAGATGATAATAATTAGAATTTATCTTTATATGGAAAGTCTATAAATTAAGTAATTTGGTGAGAGATTGACATATCATTCACGCGTGCCCGATACGATATTGAAATATTACACAAATATATATTTTTTTTTTTGGCAAGTTCGGGATAGAGCTACATCTCCGAATGTTTGAATATAGGAAGTTATGTGATTAACAAAAAGTTTACGGAAATAAATTTTGAACATTTTTTTAAGGGGGAACGAGAAAATTACAATTTCAATTTCAAAAGGTTTGCTAAAATTCCGATAATCCGTCTAGTTTAAATATAATAAATCCAATTTTATTTTCAGGGATGATATTACGATTTAAATTTATACTTTCTATATTTATACTGTCTATGTTTTATACATCCATTTTATTTTCTATATGACTCATTGTACATATATTTTACGATTTCTTGATTGTTTCCACTAATCTGGCTGAATAGTGAAGATTCATGACTCAGCCAGTGTCTTTATACCCTCCACCATACTATGGAGGGTATATTAACTTTGTAATTCCGTTTGTAACTCCTCGAAATACTCGTGTTAGACCCAACAAAGTATATATATTCTTGGTCAGCATACAATTCTAAGTCGTTTTAGCCATGCCTGTCTGTCTGTCTGGCCGTCATTTGCAATCACGCTATCTTTCGAACGAATTGAGATAGAATTCTAAAATTTTGGACACATGTTGATTTTGCCAATAAGCAGGTTAAGTTTGTAAATGGGCCACGTAGGTCCACGTTTTCATATAGCCCCCATATAACGGTACCTCCCGATATTCGGTATTTTGATTTTAGCGAAATTATCCTTCCTAATGGTTTCGAGTTAGTATTTGCAATTTGTAATGGGTACTACAGAATATGCCAGAAAATTGTCTTTGTAAGTCCAAGCTTTAGTATAGTCCGCAAATAATGGTAACTCCGGATATTCGGTATTCTGATGATTTTAGCGACATTATTGACCGGAATTGTTTGAAATTTAGTACTTGAAGTTCGTAATAGATACCACAGCCTACGACAGAAAATTGTCTTTGCAGGTCCACGTCTTCGTATAGCCCCCATATAACGGTACCTCCCGATATTCGGTATTTTTGATGATTTTATCAACATTATTCTCCGGAATTGTTTCAAATTTTGTATTTGAAGTTCGTAATAGATACTACAGCATAAACCAGAAAATGGGCCATATAGGTCCACGTCTTCATATAGCCCCCATATACCGTACCCCCCCATATTCGGTATTTTGATGATTTTAGCGACATTGTTTACCGGGATTGTTTCAAATTTCGGATGTGAAGTTCGTAATGGATACTTCAGCCCATGCCAGAAAATTGTCTGTGCAGGTTCATTCGGTATTTGATGATTTTAGCTACAATAAAAACTGATTTTTCTTAAAGTTTCGCATTTAAATATTGTAATAACTTATGACAAAAGTTGCCTATGCACGTCGTCATATAAGCATTCGGTATTTTTAAAATTTTAACAGAAATGGTGGAGGGTATTAAAAGTTCATCGGTTCAGATTTGGATATGGCTCCCATATATATTTTCGCCCGATGTCACATATTTGATGCACCAAACACGATACGTATATCTGATTCCAGATAAATTCGGCATGAGTGACTAAATTTGGTACAAAAATAAATTTCTCAAATTATATTCAAATCGGTTGAGGTTTGGATATAGCTCCCATATATTTTCGACCGATTTCGTTTATTTGATGCACCAAACACGATATGTATGTTCGACTGCAACGAAATTTAGAATGTGTGACTGGATTCTGATCCGAAAATAAGTATGTCAAATTATACTGGGTATGGCTCCCATATATATTTTCGGCCGATTTCACATATTTGATGCACCAAACACGATACGTATATCCAATTCCAGATAAATTCGGCATGAGTAACTAGATTTGGTACAAAAAAAAAAGCACCAAAAGTTCTGAGACATAATATACATTTGAGTAAAATTTTATCAACCTACTTAATTTCGTTCGGAAGTTAGAGTGATTTCCACAGACTGACAGACGGATGGACATCGCTAAATCGACACAGAATTTTATGCTGATCAAGAAGACATATACTTGTGGTGTCTAAAATTATATTTCGAGGTGTTACAAACGTAATGACAAACTTAATATACCCTCTATACTATGGACTACTTAACAATTTAATTGGGGGTATGATTATTACGGGGAAGTATGTTGCTACCTCTAATTCTCTAATTGTAACAGAAATGCCTCTGAACTTCAAAAGATTGCAGTTTCCTGACCGCTTGGCATTTGCTATGAAGTTAATAAATCCGAAGGACAAACCTTTCGTGTATGCAGACTAAATTTAGCATGTCCCTGCTTATACATTGGTCGGCTGTTCCTGGCATGTTCAAACATTGAAAGACAGAGCTATTTCTTTATGCTCAAAAGTATTCATTTAAGTATTAATTTTTGAGTTCGTTTTATTTATTTTTGTAACCAACAGATACTCATATATAAAATTTTGAATGCATATAAAAGCTAACGGAGTAGCGAAGCGCGCCGGGTTCAGCTAGTTATATATATAAAAGAAATATGTGAAAAGAAGAGAAGAATTGAAGGCAATGGAAAAATATGTAATTCTGTAATTGTGGTTGTGAATGTGTGTTTTGTTGGAAACAAAAATCACTTTGACACTGTTTTGTTGTTATTATAAATGCCGACGGCAATCTCATAGAAGACGGGCGGACATAAAAACTTGTTAAAAACGACCGAAGGCTTGGTTTTGTTTTGTTAACACAACAATTTCAATGTTACTTTGAACGTAATTCACTGTGTACATATGTACCTTTGTTGTGGCGGTTTAATAAAAATGTAATCGAGTTTTATTAGAGGTGATGGTGGTGATCGGTGATCTCATTGTTGTTGTTGACGACGAAGTCGTATCCTCGGTGAGGGAAATAGATGGATCGTAGAATCCAATGTTTTTCCTGTCGTTTCTTCGTTGTTTTTCCTCGTGAAGACAAGAGAAAGATTGTAAAATCCGGGTCGATCGGACCAATGTTTGCATAGCAAAATGAAAATAAAGAAATTGGAGAAAAATAAAAACAAAATTGATTAACATTTTTTCCAACTAGAGTAGTGGACTGTATATTTTTATAGGGTGGTTGTTCATGGAACAAGATTACCTACGTACAAAGGGTTTTTAGCAGAAGGACGTAATCCTATGCTTGTCAGTACTCGTAGAGTCGGTAGAATACTGTAAAGGTGGTGTTTAACTCAGGGGAGTGGAGGAATGGCAGACAGCGGCAACAACAACAACGAGAACTCCCCAGAGTTATTATGCGATGGTTAGAGGTGCAGGTGCGGTGATTCGCGCGTGAGGTAATGGTGAAAATAAATAGCAAAGAAATGAAACACAAGAGATTATTAGTAATAATTCTATATAGATTTCATTCTTTATTGATGTATTTTTCTTTTCTAATACAACAAAATTACCTTAGTAATTTGGGACGGCGTCAGAGGCCTGCTTAGTATAACCGTGAACGAGGTGTTAGAGCGCGAGAAAAGTACACTTCAACAACTAAACGACAAGTGAACGCAGAGGTTCTTGCAATCGTAGAGGATCGCAGTGATCGCCGAGGATCATTGTCGGTTACTACTACTACATTTACAATTATTTCCAATGAAAGCAGAGTCTCGTATGTATCAAAGTGAGCTAACCAACAACAACCACCGCCCGGTGGCATCTGCGCTCTACGTTCTCCTCCGAAGGAAGTTTGCCGAGGAGATACCCATTGTGTCAATCAGCATCCGTGATTGGCTGGACTCGGGAAGTTGAAGGCCAACTTAAACAGGTGGCTTTTAGAAAACGTCACTCCTTTGGAAATGTCCTTACCTATTCCATTATGTTCGAAGTACAAAGTCGTATTAAGAGGTAGTAGACATTACCTAAGGAGGAGAAAAATCACCCGTGTTACAAATATGTAATATTAACGCAATTTAATGAAAATTAAGTCTGAAATTAAACAACAGCCTAAGACAAAAAAATGTCTGTGCAGCTCCACGTCTTCGCAGAGCCCCCATAAAACGGTACCTCCCGATATTCGGTATTTTGATTTTTTAGGGACATTATTTACCGGAATTGTTTCAAATTTGTTATTTTAATTTCGTAACGGATACTACAGCCTATGACGGAAAATTGTCTTTGCAGGTCCACGTCTTCGTATAGCCCACATATAACGGTAGGCCCGATATTCGGTATTTTGTGATTTTAGCGACATTATTTACCGGAATTGTTTCAAATTTGGTATTTGATGTTCGTAATGGATACTACAGCCTATGCCAGAAAATTGTCTGTGCAGCTCCACGTCTTATAACCCCCATGGTACCTCCTTTTATTTTGATGATTTTAGTTACATTATAAACAATTATTTTCATGTTTCGCATTTCAATATTGTAATACCTTGTGACAAAGTTGCTTATGCAGGTCCACGTCGTCGTATGGACCTTATATTTAAGATTTTAACAGAATTTTTAACGGATTTTTTTTTTTTTTTTTGAAAATTTGCCAAATTTCTACCAAATGGTGGAGGGTGCTCAAAGTTCGGCCCGGCCGAACTCACAGCATTTTTACTTGTTTTTATCAACTTTAGCTTTCTTTATATTTCTTTACGTGTGTCTTCTAGACTTTTTATACCCTCCACTATAGTATTGAGGGTTTGTCATTCCGTTTGTAACACCTCGAAACACATATTTTAGACCCCACTAAGTATATATATTCTTCATCAGCTTAAAATTCTATGTCGATTTAGCGATGTCCGTCCGTCTATCCGTCTGTGGAAGTCACGCTAGCTTCCGAACGAATATATAACTGTACATCCCGATATTAGGTATTTTGATGATTTAACGACATTTTTCACCGGAATTGTTTCTTATTTGGTATTTGAAGTTCGTAATGGATACTACAGCCTAAGACAGAAAATTAACGGTGCAGGTCCACGTCTTCGTATAGCCCCCATATAACGGTACCTCTCGATATTCGGTATTTGGATGATTTTAGCGAATTTCTTCACCGGAATTGTTTCAAATTTGGTATTTGAAGTTCATAATGGATACTACAGCCTAAGACAGAAAATTGTCTGTGCAGGTACGCGTATCGGTAGAGACCCAATATAACGGTACCTCCCGATATTCGGTATTTTGATGATTTTAGCGAATTTATTCACCGGAATTGTTTCAAATTTTGTATTTGGATACTACAGCCTGAAACAGAAATTTGGTACCCCTCTATGTTCGGTATTTTGATGATTTTAGCGACATTATTCACCGGAATTGTTTCAAATTTGGTATTTAAAGTTCAAATGGGATACTACACCCTAAGACAGAAAATTATCTATACTGGTCCAGGTCTTCGTATAGGCCCCATATATCAGTACATCCCTATATTCGGTATTTTGACGATTTTAGGTACAGTACCCACCGAAATTGTTTGAGATGTGGTATTTGAAGTTCGTAATGGATGCTACAGCCTTTGACAGAAAATTGTCTATGCAGGTCCAGGTCTTCGCACAGATCCGATATAACGGTACTTCCCTATATACGATATTCTTATGATTTTAGCTACATAAATCACCGTTTATTTCAAGTTTCGAATTTGAATATGGTAATGGCTTATGGCAAACAATGCCTATGAAGACCCACGTCGTATGCACCTCACTATAACGGCTATATTTGGTATTTTTAAAATTTTAACAGAATGTTTTAATGATTTTATTTTCTGAAAATTTCCAAATTCGTTCCAAATGGTGGAGGTTATTCAAAGTTCGGCCCGGCCGAACCTACTACTTTTTAACTTGTTTTTTTTTTGTAGTTGGGACATTGGATGTCCTCGAAATTGCATTTTTTGCAATTGGAAATGGGGGTATATTAACTTTATTATTCCGTGTGTAACATCCCTAAATATTCGTCGTAGACCCCATAATGTATACATCCATAATCAGCATAAAATTCTAAGACGATTTAACGATGTCCGTCTGTCTGTTGAAATCACGATACAGCCCACATTATTTGACGTAGAGCGTTAACATTTAGGAGAATAATTTGTATTATGTCTAGGATGGTTTGTATTGAAAATGAGATATATCGGTCCACGTTTTAGTATAGTCCCCATATAACGGCCTTCCCTATATTCGGTATTTTGATGATTTTTTCCACATTGGCATTTTTGATCATAATGGGTTCTAGCTCCGGTGGCGAATTTTTGCATGTATAGGTCCACGCTTTGGTATAGGCCCCATATAACGGTACCTCCCGATATTCGGTATTTGGATGATTTTAGCGACATTATTTTTGATCATAATGGGTTCTAGCTCCGGTGGCGAATTTTTGCATGTATAGGTCCACGCTTTGGTATAGGCCCCATATAACGGTACCTCCCGATATTCGGTATTTGGATGATTTTAGCGACATTATTTACCGGAATTATTTCAAAATTGGTATTTGAAGTTCGTAATGGATGTTACAGCCTAAGACAGAAAATAAGACATGTAAGTCCACGTCTTCGTATAGCCCCCATATTACGGTACTCCCGATATTCGGTATTTTGATGATTTTAACGACAATATTTACCGGAATTGTTTCTAAATTGGTAGTTGAAGTTCGTAATGGATACTAATGCCTCAGACAGGAAATATGCAATGCAGATCCACGGCTTCGTATAACCCCCATATAGCGGTACTCCCGATATTCGGTATTTGGATGATCTTAGCGACATTTTTCACCGGAATAGTTTCAAATTTGGTATGTGAAGTTCGTAATGGATGCTATAGCCTAAGAAAGAAAATTGTCTGTGCAGGTCCACGTCTTCGTATATTGCATTGCATTTTTATACAATCCACCTTGGAAAATAGGGTATATTAACTTTGTCATTCCGTTTGTAACATCCCTAAATATTCGTCGTAGACCCCATAATGTATATATATTCATAATCAGCATAAAATTCTAAGACGTGGAGCGTCAACTTTTAGCAGAATAATTTGTATTATTTCTAGGATGGTTGGTATTGAAAATGAGATATATCGGTCCACGTTTTAGTATAGTCCCCATATAACGGCCTTCCCTATATTCGGTATGTTGATGATTTTTCGACGCTTTGGTATAGCTATAAAATTGTACCTTCCGATATTCGGTATTTTGATGATTTTGCCACATTTTTTCATGGAATTGTCTAAAAATTGGCATTTTTGGTCATAATGGTTTTGTAAAGCCCTATATTGAGGTACCTCCCGATATTCGGCAGTTTGATGATTTTTGCCACATTTTCCCATGAATATGTCTAAAAATTGGTATTTGCGGGTCATAATTTGTTCTAGCGTTTTCTCTACCCTAAGGCGAAGGGTATTACAAGTTCGGTCCGGCCGAACTTAATGTTCTTATACCCTCCTCCATAGCATGGACAGAATATTAAGTTAGTCATTCCGTTTGTAACACCTCGAAATATACATTTTAGACCCCCCAAAATGTGTATATTCTTGATCAGCATCAAATTCTATGTCGATTCATCAATGTCCGCTTGTGTGTCCGTCTGTGGAAATCACTCTAGCTTCCGAACGAAATACGTAAGTTGATAAAAATTTACTCAAATGTGTATTATGTCTGCAGAACTTTTGGTATTGAAAATGGGCTATGTAGGTCCACGTCTTCGTATAGCCCCCATATAACGCTACCCTCCGATATTCGGTATTTTGATGATTTTAGCGACATTATTTACCGGAATCGTTTCAAATTTACTACAGCCTAAGACAGAAAATAAGCCATGTTCCTTTGTTCACGTCTTCGTATAGCCCCTATATAACGGTACTCCCGATATTCGGTATTTGGATGATTTTAGCGACATTATTTACAGGAATTGTTTCAAATTTTGTATTTAAAGTTCGTAATAGATACTACAGCCTAGAACAGAACATTGTCTGTGCAGGTCCACCTCTTCGCGAGCCCTAATATAAAGGTACCTCCCGATATTCGGTGTTTTGATTATTTTAGCGAATTTATTCAAATTTGGTATTTAAAGTTCGTAATAGATACTACAGCCTAGAACAGAAAATTGTCTGTGCAGGTCCACGTCTTCGTATAGCCCCCATATATACCTACCGATATTCGGTATTTTGATTTTATCGACATTATAACCGATTTTTTAAGTTTCGCATTTGAATATTGTAATGGCTTATGACAATACCTATGCAGGTCTATGTCGTCGTATAGACCCTAATGTAACAGCTACATTCAATGTTTTTAAGATTTTAACAGAATTTCCAACGGATTATATTGTTTTTGAGAATTGCCAAATTCGTTCCAAATGGTTGAGGTGATTCAAAGTTCGACCCGGGCGAACTTACCGCTTTTTTATATGTTTTCTTATATTATTTTAAATTTTGTGTTTTTTTTTGTAGTTGGGACTTTTGATGTCCTCTTTTCCAAATTGCATTTTTATACCCTCCACCTTGGAATGGACGGTTTAACGATGTCCGTCTGTCTGTTGAAATTACGATACAGCCCACATTATTTGACGTAGAGCGTCAACATTTAGCAAAATAAATTGTATGATGCCTAGGATGGTTGGTGTTGAAAATGAGATATATCGGTCCACGTTTTGGTACAGTCCCCATACAACGGCCTTCCCTATATTCGGTATTTTGATGATTTTTGCCACACTTTTTCACGGGTTTGTCTGAAAATTTTTATTTGTAGGTCATAATGGATCTTAGTTCGTGCGGCGAAACATTGCATGTATAGGTCGACGCTTTGGTATAGATTCCATATAAGGGTATCTCCCGATATTCGGTATTTTGATGATTTTTGCACATTTTTTCATGGAATTGTCTAAAAATTGGTACTTGTTGGTGGAACTTTGCATATACATATAAAGGTACCTCCCGATATTCCGCATTTTGATGATTTTAGCGACATTATTAACCGGAATCGTTTCAATTTTTGTATTTAAAGTTCGTAGTGGGTACTATAGCTTATAGTGGGAAATTGTCTGTACAGGTCCATGATTTCGTATAGTCCCCATATAAAGGTACCTCACAATATTCGGTATTTTTATAATTTTAGCGACATTTTTCACCGGAATTGCTTCAAAATTGGTATTTTAATTCGTAATGAATACTACATCCTATGACCGGAAATTGTCTGTGCAGGTCCAGTCTTCGTATAGCCCCCATATAAAGGTGCTTCACGATATTCGGTATTTTGATGATTTTAGCGCCATTTTTCACCGGAATTGTTTTCATGACAGAAAATGGTCTACTTAGGTCCAGGTCTTCGTATAGGCCCAAAAATCAGTACCTCCCTATATTCGGTATTTTGACAATTTTAGGTATAATATTCATCGAAATTGTTTGAGATGTCGTATTTGAACTTCGTAAAGAGTGCTACAGCCTGGGACAGAAATTTGTCTATGCAGGTCCAGGTCTTTGTGTCGCTCCGATAAACCGGTACCTCTATATATACGGTATTTTGATGATTTACGCTAAATTATTCACCTTTTATTTGAAGTTTCTAATTTGAATATAGCAATGGCTTATGACAAACAAAGCCTATGTAGGTCCACGTCGTATAGACCCCAATATAACGGCTATATTCGGTATTTTTAAAATTTTAACGAAAATTTTAACGGATTTTTTTCAAAGTTCGGCAGATTTAACTGTTTTTTAACTTATTCTAAGTTTCGCATTTGAATATTGTATGGCAAACGTTACATATGCAGGTCCATGTCGTCGTATTGGCCCTAATATAAGGCTACATTCGGTATTTCTAAGATTTTAACAGAATTTTTAACGGATTTTATTGTTTTTGAGAATTGCCAAATTCGTTTCAAATGGTGGAGGGTATTCAAAGTTCAGCCCGGCCGAACTTACAGCTTTTTTACTTGTTACAATATATATTGTATTTTTTTTTTTAGTTTGCCTCTGTGGCTTTTTATCGATCGAGATTTGAATCTACAAACAAGCGAAGAGGTTGTATTCCTTTCTTACTAAACATTGCTCCAGTCGAGTCAAATAGAGTTGGCAATCCAAGAAGGAGATTGGATTCTATTCTCATTTACATTGGTCCATCGAAAATTAAGGAATCAATGACCTAAAATAAAATTAAATTTTTTGAGTTATCCCCCATAGTGCATAGTGGTCGCTGCCATTGGCCAAAATTCAAAAAATGAAAATCAGATATTTATTGTCAAATGTGTACAAATGAACTCTTAAGCGGTTAAGCTTTTAGAAAACATAATAATCTTGGCTTCATTCTAAGGGCCCACTTCAAAAATGGCATCAAAATAGAGAAAATGTAGTTAGTTGTTTTTTCAGTGGGATCAAAGAAAATGTGGAGTAAAAATAGAACTGTATTACAAAATTAAATACATTTTAAAATTACAAATCTTTATTGAAAAGCAAATTACAAATTATTATTGAAAAGCAAGGTATTAACTTATTTTTAGTGCAGTAATTTTTTGTGTTTAGTATGTGTGTATTATATAGAGGATGTGAGTGTTCTGAGTTGCCTTTAAGATTAATTTTGAAAATAAAATTGGATTTCAGTTAAAGTTTTAATTGTTTTCCCCCCTGAATCCTCCAATGTGATTTTTTCACGTTATTAGTAATGGCCTAAGATTCTAAAAGTGCTAATTTAACTTTCAGATTTTGTCAGATGTGTACGTTATGCCCAATATACTGAAGTGACTTCGCTGCAATTTTGTCAGTTCTATGGTGCTAGTGATATGGAATATGTTTTTATTGTTAGGGATTGACAAAGATGTAATTGACAGGTGTTCAATATTGTTACAAGCATTGTCTTCTGGGTATAATATTTATGTCGAAAAATTTAAGGCCTTTGCACTGGAAACTGCTAAAGAGTTAACAAATTTATATCCATGGCACTATCTTCCAAGTTTCGACTAAATCATACCCGAAAAAATTCTCGTGTTTTAACAACCACAGATCTTATTAACCGTCTTCTTCTGAGCTCTGACCCTTTTATAAAGGGGCAGCGAACGTTACCAAAAAATAACCAGTAAAGAAAGTCTTAAAGTCGGGCGGGGCCGACTTCATGATACCCTACACCACTTTGCATATTTTGTAGAGCGTCACATAACAAATAAAGGTTTTAATGGTGAATTTGTGAGAATTAAATCATACCAACTATGATTATAGTAATAATTAAAAGTCCAAAGGAATTAATATATGGGAGGAATATCCTCCTCTGAATCGATTTCTATTAAATTTGTCGAGGCATTTGCGCCTTTTCAATTCGGGCTTGTGTTATCCATTTGGTGCACAATTAACTTGAAATCGGATAGATATATATGAGAGCTATATCTAAATTTTATTTGGGCTAATATTACACGTTTGGTGCACAATAAAAGGCAAATCGGTCGAAGATATATATTTGAGCCATATCCAAATATTAACAGATCTCGATAAAATTTAGAAAGTGTATTTCTAAGTTATATTTGATATATTTCCCCAAATATCGTTGTTACAGAGTGCATATTACGGCTGTGGAGGACAAAAATAACAAATCGGAAGAACAATATATATGGGAGCTATATATGTGTCTGAACCGATTTCGATCAAATTTGGCATACTTATTTTCAGGTCCAATCTGGTCGTACGTATATTCTATACTATTTGGGCTGATATTACAAGTTTGGTGCACAATATAAGGCAAACTGAATGAATATAATGGGAGATATACCTAAATTTTGACCGGTTATATCCAATTTCAATCACATTCGTCCTTAAGTCAAACTAATTATTTGTGCAAAATTTAACTTTGATTTAATTTTACATTAAATTGTTATTTTATTTTTTTTTTTACAAAAAATAATAAAATTTGGACTTGATTTGTATAAAAAAACTTCTATTTTCGGAGGTACCTTACAGGGGACTCTACCTAATGGCGGGCTGTTCCAAATAATTTTCAGTAAGATTATTTTTTAGCTCCTTAGAACGTAAAATGTAAAATAACATTACAATCTGGTGTAGAAATGTGACAAGAATTGGACAAATAACCCTTATTCGGGAGGTAGGTTATATGGGGACTATGCCAAAACATGCATCGACCATATCCATTTTGTCACATTTTTATACCCTCCGACATACTATGGAGGGTATATTAACTTTGTCATTCCGTTTGTAACTCCTCGAAATACTCATGTCAGACCCAACAAAGTATATATATTCTTGATCAGCGTAAAATTCTAAGACGATTTAGCCATGTCCGTCTGTCTGTTGTAATCACGCTATCTTTCGAATGAATTGAGAGAGATGGCTAACATTTTGCACACATGTTTAGTTTTCCAGTATGCAGGTTAAGTTCGTAAATGGGCCATGTTTGTCCACGTTTTCATATAGCCCGCATATAACGGTACCCCCCTATATTCGGTATTTCGATGATTTTAGCGACATTATTTACAGGAATTGTTTCAAATTTGGTATTTGAAATTCGAATTGGATACTACACCCTAAGACAGAAAATTTTCTATGCTGGTTCAGGTCTTCGTATAGGCCCCATATATCAGTACATCCCTATATTCGGCATTTTGACGATTTTATGTACAATACTCACCGAAATTGTTTGAGGTGTGGTATTTGAAGTTCGAAATGGATGCTACAGCCTGTGACGGAAAATTGTCTATGCAGGTCCAGGTCTTCGCACAGCTCCGATATAACGGCAACATTATTCACCGTTTATTTCAAGTTACGAATTTGAATATGGTAATGGCTTATGACAAACCATGTCTATGTAGGCCCACATCGTATACACCTCAATATAACAGCTATATTTGGTATTGTTGGTATTTTTAAAATTTTAACAGAATGTTTTAATGATTTTATTTTCTGAAAATTTCCAAATTCGTTCCAAATGGTGGAGTATATTCAAAGTTCGGCCCGGCCGAACTTGTTTTTAATTTCCAAATTCGTTCCAAATGATGAAGCGTATTCAAAGTTCGGCCCCCTATTTAAATTATATGAAATTTTTAGGTTATTAACTAAAGTTTTAGTCAGGTCCTCTTCTATCTCGTCAACAGCAGTTAAATCCACAGTTATGGGAAAAAGCCCATCGATTTTGCAAAACCAAAATACCTTCGGGATGCCGTACAAGAATGCAAACACTTGTTGAGTCAGGAATCTCCGATATTCAGATCAGTGGAAACAATCGAGGAGTCGTAAGAAAATATGAACATTGCGCCATATAAGAAATATAATGGGTGTAGAAAATATATCACTAAACAGAGGTGTAAATATAGAAAGCATTCATTTAAATCCCAATATAATTAATAAAAACAAAATTAGCTTTATTATATCTAAAATACATACATTTGAAACTCAAAAATATTGAGACAACTCTGCATACCAAATTTTGATCGATTTGATTGGGATCGACATGTTTCGAAGCTTTACACATTTTTTAATAGATTTTGGAGGATAGTAACATGTTTAATTTTTCTTTGTACTTTTTGACCCTTTTTGGAACAGATTTTCGGAATTTCAGAGAACTTTTTGTGTAATATAAATAAATATATATACAATACCTCTGCATAGCCCTTTCATATTATTAAAATGGTATGTAATTTTCTCCTGTTTAATACGAATTTTCAAAATGTGTTTCCGCAAACTTGCTTTGATTGAAATTGAAAGTTTTATGTTATGCCATCAAATATTCTATTAATGTACTGCGTACCTGATTAAAACTCAATATTTTCTCCCACGTTTTGTTTTAGGATTTTTATACTCTACACCATGGTATGGAGGGTATATTAAGTTTGACATTCCGTTTGTAACACCTCGATATATACATAAACCCCACAAAGTATACATATTCTTGATCAGGATAAAATTCTATGTCGACTTAGCGATGTGTGTCCGTCAGTGGAAATAACTCTAGCTTCCGAGCGAAATAAAGTAGGTTGATAACATTTTACTCAAATGTAAATTATGTTGCAGGACTTTTGGTATTTTAAATGGGCCATGAAGGTCCACGTTTTGGTAAAGCCCCCATATAATGGTACCTCCCTGTATTCGGTATTTTGATGGTTTTAGCGACTTTATTTATCGGAGTTGTTTAAAATTTAGTACTTGAAGTTCGTAATGGATACTGCAGCCTAAGAAAAAAATTGTCTATTCAGGATCACGGCTTCAGCTAGACCTCATATAACGGCACCACCCGATATTTGGTAATTAAAGTTCGTAATCGATACTACATCCTAAGATAGAAAATGGTCGTTTAGCCCCCATACAACGGTGGTCGTATAGCCCCCATACAACGGTGCCTCCCGATATTCGGTATTTTGATGATTTAAGCGACATTATTCACCGGAATTGTTTGAAATTTAGTACTTGAAGTTCGTAATGGATACTACCGCCTAAGACAGAAAATTGTCTATGCAGGTCAAGGTCTTCGTATAGGCCCCATATATCAGTACGTCCCTAAATGTTGACAAGTTTGTGTACAATACCCACCGAAATTTTTTGTGATGTCGTATTTAAAGTTCGAATTGGATGCTACAGTCTTTGACAACAAATTGTCTATGTAGATCCAGGTCTTCGCACAGCCCCGATATAACGATAACTCCCTATATACGTTATTTTGATGGCCCCATATATCATAACCTCCCTATATTCGGTATGTTAACGAGTTTAGGTACAATACCCATCGAAATTGTGTGGGATGTCGTATTTGAAGTTCGAATTGGATGCTACAGCCAGTGACAGCAAATTTTCTATGCAGGTCCAGGTCTTCGCAGTCGGCCGGGGCCGACTTTATGATACCCTACACCACTTTGCTAATTTAGTAGAGCTGCGCATAACAATTAAAAGTTTTTATGGGAGAATTCAATCATACACGCTATGATTATAATTATAAGTTAAAGTTCAAAGGACTAAATAAGCCGAAGCATTTGTATCTTTTTAATTCGGACTTGTATTGCCCATTTGGTGCACAATTAATTTGAAATCGGATAAAAATATATATGGGAGCTAGATCCAAATCGGAACCGATCTCGATAAAATTTGGCAAAGATATTTCTGAGCTGTATTTGATATATTTCCCTGAATATCGTTGTTACAGAGTGCATATTACGGCTGTGGGTAAGAAATATGACAAATCGGATGAACAGTATATATGGGAGCTATAGCTATATCTGAACCGATCTCGACCTAATTTAGGAAATGTATTTCTGAGCTGTATTTGTTATATTTCCCCAAATATTGTTGTTACAGATTGCATATTACGGCTGCGGCCAAATTTGACATACTAGCTTCTAGACTCAATTCGGTCGTAAGTGCCAAATGTCATCCAATTTGGGCAAATATTAGACGTTTGGTGCACAATCAAAGATAAATCGGACGAAGTTATATATGGGAGCTATATCCAAATCTGAACCGACCTCGATCAAATTTAGCAAATGTATTTCTGAGCTGTATTTGATATATTTCCCCGAATATTGTTGTTGCAGAGTGCATATAACGGCTGCGGAGGACAAAAATAAAAAATCGGATGAACAAATTTGGCATACTTATTTTCAGGTCCAATCTGATCGTACGCGAAAAAATCCATACTATTCGGACTGATATTACACGTTTGGTGCACAATAAAAGACAAATCGGACGAAGATATATATGGGAGCTATATCTAAATTTTGACCGCTTATCTCAAATTTCAATAGCGTTCGTCCTTGGGCCAAACAAATGATTTGTGCAAAATTTCATCTGGATAGGGCATTAAATGCGAACTTTACTTTGTTTACAAAAATACATGGACAGACGGACAGACGGACAGACGGACGGACGGACATGCATAAATCGACTCAGAATGTGATTCTATGCAGATCATCAAACGGAACTATGGGTCAATCTCGTTTCCTTTTGCCTGTTACAAACAAATGCACAAAGATATAATACCCTGACCACTATGTGGTGTAGGGTATAAATACAATATGTATTGTAACAAGTAAAAAACTGTAAGTTCGGCCAGTCCGAACTTTGAATACCCTCCACCATTTCGAACGAATTTGGCAATTCTCAAAAACAATAAAATCTGTTAAAATCTTAAAAATACCGAATGTATCTATTACATTAGGGTCAATACGACGACATGAGCCTGGATAGGTAACTTTTGTCATAAGCCAATACAATATTCAAATGCGAAACTTAAAAAAAATCGGTAAATAATGTAGCTAAAATCATCAAAATACCGAATATCGATATGGAGGCTATTCGAAGAGGTGGACCTGCACATACAATTTTCTGTCTTAAGCTATAGTATCTATTACGAACTATAAATGCCAATTTTGAAACAATCCCGTAAATAATGTCGCTAAAATCATCAAAATACCGCATATCGGGAGGTAGGGTTATATGGGGGTATATATACCAAACGTTTACCTACATGGCCCATTTTCAATACCAAAAGATCTGCAGACATAATGCACATTTGAGTAAAATTTTATCAACCTTCTTCATTGGACCTGCACAGACAATTATGCAATAGTATCCACTAAGAACATCAAATAGCAAATTTGAAAGAATTCCGTTGAATAATGTAGCTAAAATCAACAAACTACCGAATATCGGGAGGTACAGTTATATGGGGGCTACACGAAGACGTGAACCTAGACCTACGATTTTCTGCCATAGGCTGTCCGGTGAATATTGTCTTAAAAATAAACAAAGAACCCAATATCTGGAGATACCGTTATATGCGGGTCTACGCACAGACAATTTTCTGTTTTAGGCTGTAGTATCCATTACGAGCTTAAATACCAAATTTGAAACAACTCTGATGAATAATATCGGTAAAATCATCAAAATATCGAATAGCGGGGGTACATATATATGGGGGCCAATACGAAGACGTAGAACTGCACAGACAATTTTCTGTCTTAGGCTGTAGCATCCATTTCTAATTTCAATCTCGATGGATATCGTCGCAAAAATCATCAAAATACCGAATATCGGGTGGTGCTGTTATATGAGGTCTATCAAAGACGTGGACCTAAACAGACTATTTTCTGTCTTAGCCTGTAGTATCTACTATGAACTGCAAATCCTTAATTTGAAACTATTCTGGAGAATAAAATTCTGTGAATCACGTAGCTAAAATCATCAAAATACCGAATAGAGGGAGGTACCATCATGTTGGGGCTATACCAAAGCGGGAGTGGACGGAAGCAACACAATTTACATTTTGGGTAAAACTTTATCAACCTACTTCATTTCGTTCGCAAGCTAGAGCGATTCGCACAGACTGCCGGACATCGTTAAATCGACATAGTATTTTATGCTGATCAAGAACATATATACTTTGTAGGGTCTAAAATGTATATTTCGAGGTGTTACAAACGGAATGACATACTTAATATACCCTCCACGCCATGGTGTACGTTATCAATATCATAAAACAAAACTTTGGTGAAAAAATCGAGTTTTATTCAGGTACGCAGTACATTGATAGAATATTTGATAGCATAACATAAAACTTTCAATTTCAAACAAATTACGGAAACATATTTTGAAAATTCGTATTAAACGGAAGAAAATTACATACCCTTTTAATAATATGAAGGGACCAAGAAGAAGTATTGTTCTAAATTTGTGTACATTTGTTTATTTAAATGGCACAAAGGTTTTCTGAAAATCCGAAAATCCGTTTCAGTCCTATAAAATCTACTTCAAAAATTTCTAAAGCTTCGAAACATGTCAATCTCACAATCTTTCCGACCTGAGAAGAATCGATCAAAATTTGGTATACAGAGTTTTTGAGTTTCAAGAGTATCTATTTTAAATATAATAAAGACAACTTTATTTTTTAAATGATAATGCGATTTAAATTTTTAATTTTCTATATTTATAATTTTCTTTAGTGATATATTTTCTGCATCCATTTTATTTATTATAATATAACTCAATGTACATATTTTCTTATGATTTTTCGATTGTTTCCACTGATCTGGCTGAACAGCGAAGATTCCTGACTGACTGTTAAAATCTCAAATATACCGAATGTATCTGTTACAGTAGGGTCTATACGACGACAAGGGCCTGCATAGGTAACTTTTGTCATAAGCCATTACAATATTCAAATGCGATACTCAGAAAAAAATCGGTGAATAACGTAGTTAAAGTCATCAAAATACCGAATATAGGGATGTACCGTTATATGGGGGCTATACGAAGACGTGAATCTCCACAGACAATTTTCTGTATAAGGCTGTAGTACCCATTACGAACTTCAAATACCAAATTCGAAACAATTCCGATGAATAATGTCAATAAAATCATGAAAATAACGAATATAAGGAGGAACCGTTATATGGGGGCTATACGAAGACGTGGATCTGCACAGACAATTTTCTGTCTAAGGCTGCAATACCCATTACGAACTTCAAATACCGAATTCAAAACAATTCCGGTGAATAATGTCGATAAAATCATGAAAATAACGAATAAAGGGAGGAACCGTTAAATGGGGGCTATACAAAGACGTGGACCTGCACGGACAATCTTTCTGTCATAGACTGAAGAATCCTTTACGAACTTCAAATACCAAATTTGAAATAGTTCCAGAGAATAATGTCGCTAAAATCATGAAAATACCGAGTATCTGGGGTACCGTTATACG